AATGCGGTCCTAAATAGTGAACTGTTTTGATGTTATGCCTCAATAGTTCAATAAGTATGAACCTTGAAATGAATATCAATCTAAAATCTGACTTCTTAAATATTCGCTGATTACTATTATTAGTAGATACGAGCACTTTTTACACAAAACTTAAATTTCACACCAGAAAATTCTACCTGAATCTCTTGAGACGCCCTGCTGTATCATTAAAATATGTTCAATTTGCCATTTGACCTCCATTGACTCGTTTAATACAAACACTTCATCACAAGAAACCCTCTTCCCTGTCATCATCCGTGTTACCTGATGATGACATGATGTGTCAACTTCTCATTGGGCATTGGGCTTCTCATCGGAACCAATATTTCCTAATTGCTATATTTCTGGTTCCCCTGTTTCCACTTTGGGGCCGATGAGTCTTGAAGCACTTGTACCTCAGCTCCGATTCCGATAAACCATAACCACATTGCGTGATCCCTTTTTAGCTTGCCATTTGGTAACTTGTGTTTGGATATCGTTATTCTCGCTGAAGAACACATCCGGGGAGCTCAAACGATGCCTATGTCCACACTCATCACAATCTCTACTGAAGAATTTTAGATCTGGAATTTTAGACTAGTTCTTATGTACTACATCGTGGCTTCAACAGGAGCTTCACGCGTGGTGGACCTAGAGGGAACTCGAACCACATCAAACTTACCGCTACGTTATGAAGCGCCAAACACGGAACCACTGGGAAGTATTTGCCTTAGCTCACCGAGACATACAGCTTCAAAGCAATGGGAATGTTGACTGCAGGGCAGCATGCAAGTGCACAGTCAAGACCAGATTCTGATACTCCGAAACTGTAGGTTTGATCCATTTCATCTCCATCAAAGTCCTGGAAGTTGAAAATATTTTCATTTTGCTTTTGTTGTCGAGGTTGAAATGATAGCCCCTGCTCATTGAAGGTAGCCACTGGATATGTGAGATCGACTATGCCTGTGAGGGTGACATCCGAGCAAGGCATCTGATAAAGTAAGTAATCATACCGGAACAGGACCCTGCAGGCGTTTCGAATCACCTTCTGGGGCGTAACCGATTAATGAGCGGATGACACGATGGGGATTGTACATTTGCTATCCACGCCTGTCTGAACTGGAAAAGTTTTTGTACTATGTGACCGACGGCTGGAGATTCAGTTGTTTTGACTACGGAAGGAAAGCGATGTTCTGCTATTGACCATGCTTTCGCTCAGTTTGGTCGGTCATCCTTTCTTCCCAAAGGGCTCCACGCTCCTTAGCTGAACCAGGTCATTTGGGTGCCAAATGACCTCGTTTGAGAACTGAGAATTCCCACTCTGTACGCTGAATGTGCGCGAAAGAAGTCAAGGGGAGATCTCGAAGTCAAGACAGCTAAGACAAGTCCAGATGTATCGAAAAGTTATTCTTAACAGAGCATTCAGCAGGTAAAGCATAATACTTCTTGGTAGTTGCATTGGTTGGATGGAGACTGTGGCTGAAATGAAAAGTTTGAGCTTTTGGCTGGTTATAGATCTTTGGAACATTCGACACTTGAAAGAAAGTCATGCCTATGATGTTTACAAAGACATCAACATATAGTGCGGAGCAAGTACAGAACTATTGTACAAGCTTTACAAAGAGCCAAGAGAATGTTCTTACACAAACTGCAAATGTTTCCCGTTGTAAAAGCTGAAGCATTTTGAGCGTAAACAGCAAAGACCACAGTAGATCACTAACAAATATGCCATATAGGATCAAAATGTCTCTCCATCCACTGATCACGAAGGGATTTTGGAAATGAATCTCTTAGAGCAGACTTATAAAGATCCCGAATATAGTCATGTGCTACTTATTTTGATTGACAACCAATATAGATTGTATCTACTGCAAGACCAAAGTAGTAGATCGAATATATCGTATTCATTCGTAATATGATCGAATATATCATATTCATTTTGAGCAGCATGAAACAGAGTTAGATTATTGCAACCAGTATGGAAGGAGTATCAAACTTCATAAGTCATGATAATAACCTTAGGGTAATCACAACAGCAACCTCAGATCGTTTAGTTCACTAGGTACTTTTCGATCCAGGTACAATTCGAAGTCAGAGTGGACTCGAAGTTACTAGAATGACATGGTAGTAAGGACTGAATCTGTTACAACAGAAAATTGAAAGAAGAATGTATTACCCTGGACAACAGCGTATCGTTTGGACTTACAAGAATGCAAACTTTCCCTTTCTCAGGAACGGGGACCAGAGCCCTAGGGTTCACTCATATAACCAACTGTGCAAAAGTAGTGTACGTAGCTTATACGCGGAGTGTTTTACATATTAAAAAACCCATTTTGAAGTCGATATAGTCCACGTTGGTCAGAATATGAGAATGACAGATGCGGCAGTCTAGCTAAATGAAAAGATTTGAAATGGGAAGCCACTCAATATCTCATTTGATAGATCAAAATTGGAGAGGAAGCATGTATATAAGAATTACATACATATTAAAGATTTGATCTGCTTTAGCTTGAACCTAATTATCCAACATGCAGTAGTATCAACCTCCTTTGACATTCCATCTTCTTTCTTGAATATAATCGAGAAAGAACTTGATTCTACAAGAAGTGCATTTTTGTTTAGCAATATTTATACATTACTTTTCCAAGTAGAAAAGACTAAATCAACCTAAATTACCTTTTGTATAACCCAATGTCTCTCTAGCAATCCTTGTTGTATTAAGGATGATAGAGATGTGACATGAATATTGTCTGTTCACTAACAAAGACAAGGATGATTACTTCTCGAAGGTCAACAATGACCTTGGAGAAGTAAAACCACCATGAGTCTATGTGTCTTGATCCACCTCGAGTACAGAAAGATAATAACAACCAATCAACGTAATAGCAAATGGAATTGCGTTCGTCTTTTATGCATAGAGTGTCTTAGGTGTTGCAATCTCTTCCACAAAATAGTCAATCGGTTATGTTGTTGAATAATTGAAGTTGTACTTCACTGCGAATAAGGAGGCGGGTAGTTCACAAGGTGAGTTGTATGCACAGGTAAAACGTATAGCTGAAGTCTTAATTCCACTCAAAACTGGAAGGCTACTGTAGTTTAGTACTCCTGCAGCAAAGGATACGATCAAAATTATCATGGAAAATGCTTATGCAACGTCATGATGATCATTATGAGATTTCGTAATGACAGACTGAATACGCACGTTTTGTGTGAGATGGTAACTGCAAACCTTACCTGTTATCTGAGATTACCAGATCCGCATCATCAAGTGTTGAGATCTGATGCTTTCTCTTTGTTTGCTAGCTACTGCATGCCAATAATGCCTTTTAACTGACTATGGATACTTGCAAAAGACTACCGCAGTTTAGAGGTCAGCTTTATATGATTTGTTGGAGGCATCCACGAGTTTGTCGTCCCCTCACTGGATCATGTAGATAATATAAAAAGTCAGCTATTAGCAGGAAAAAGACCAATAATCAGCAAAGGAAGCGGTAAGCTAGCCAGATTAATAGCCTGCCCCCGCATATCTCATGTACTTATACAAAACACAGGGTAATAATACGAACTTCTGGGATAATAATCAGCAATAGCTATCTGTCAGGGGACGGAGATACAGGCAGAAGTGGGAACAGCAATATCACGCGTCGAACTTTAAGTAGGGAACCAGTACACTCGATTACAGTGTGAAGAATATTTCATCAGGGACGAAGCTCACTCAAGGAGCTAAATCGAGATGACCGGCACCTATGGCCATCGATGCAATGGATCTTATTGCATGCCCTCCGGTACACGACAGTACCACCGTATCGACGGGGAAAAATAAATCCTACCTTGTACCCCGCGCCGCGGTAGGACCACGGCATGGTCCTAAGACGAACTACGAATGGGCCAAAGCGAGATGGTGCCAATGGAGCCTGCACTGCTAATGACATTGGACTGGATATCGGAACGCTAATGCTGATTTAATGACCACGTGCAAGAATCTGGTCATACCTTGTACTCAGGCCCTGAGATCTACGGCTTGGACCGGGCATTAGCATAGCAGAGTTGGATTAAGGAAGAAACTGAATTAAGTATCCTCAGTTCGGCCCGTGACAAGATGGTTCTTATTCTCGATGTCTGGAAGAAAGTCGTTACCGCGGAGCTTTTAATCGCTGTACGCATGCGCCACATCGCAAGCGTCGCTTTTCCAATCGCACGGGGAGGATGAAAGTCCGTCCGATCGCGGACGTGGTGGCGGTGGCGGGGTTGGGTTGGGTTGGGTGCGGTGCGGTGCGGTGGGGTGGGGGGACAACTTCTCCGGCCCGAGAGTTCTGACAGTTGCGAGTCCACGACATTCGTCGACGCAGTCAACACCTGGGAAATCGAGAACTATGCCTGAGAACCAGCGTCAAAGAGTTCGCTTGACACAATCGTCGATGCCGGGCATGTAACTCGTCGCTTGCTACCACAGTAGGTTGATCGATAAGTCAGCAGCATGCATAATTGGCAGAAGCCGCAGCAGCTGCTGCATGGCCCTGCCCTTGTGGCGTCCAGACTGACAAACCACGTCTTCCAACATTTGTCCTGCACACTTGGACAAACAGAACCGCTCTCTCCGTCGGAGAAGAAGGCGGATGGAAATCGGACTCACGGAGATTAGCGGCGCAAGTAAGCACGAAAGGCGAAGTTGAACCTGACGGTTATATCGAAGAGGGTTGCGATTAGCGGTAACCGGGAGTTGTCCTTTACTGCAATTGGCAAACGTGAGCCAAAGAAGTTGGTGGGATCTCGGGAAGGTGAGGCAATAGCCGCAGCGGGACTTGGCGGGTAGTGACGGAATCGTGGCGGCCCGACGTAAGCTGGGAAGGATGGACGGGGTGCGACCCGCGAGGAGGAGGTGGCGAGCGGAGCTCGGTGAGGGGGAGGCTGGGGGACTGTGGGCGGGCATAAATGTTAGAATATTCAGGCGAGGGGTTTTATAAGTACAAGGTAATAATGGCTGTGAACTCAGGCTAGGCCTCTGCAAAGCGTTTGTCTCTGGCCTCCTGTCCGACGCGCAGGGCAGACTCTCGGCGCCAGAGCTTCGATTGAGCATCGCGAAGCATAGACAGGAGAGCTGCCGCTGCCGTTGCTGCTCCTGCCACTGCGAAGTAAGAATTTCCGGAGCGAGACGAGACGAGAGAAGAATCCCTCGGTCGTCCTGTCGTCTCTGCTACGACTTGAAGAAAAAACTTGACAGCAGCCAGCAGCAGCATCAGCAGTAGCTGGTGTTTGTAGCCAGCCCGCCAGGGAGGCAGCCAGCCAGCTGCAGAGCTGCGCAGCAGGCGGAGAGAGAGAGAGAGAGAGAGAGAGAGAGAGGCGAGCAGCAAAAGTGATCTTTGCAGGAGGAGGAAGAGCATTGAGTCGATTCACGAACTGATAATTGCACTTAAGCTATCTGTGCTGCAACTGGGTTTGACACACGTTCGTGAGGGAGGGGGAGTGAGTGAAGGAAGGAAGAAGCCAGTGCCCGGAACCTTCGTTAGTGGCTCGCTTGCGTCGATTGCTTCGGAGTCTCCAGTGTGAAACGTAGTGACTCGTTGCTGGCCCTGAATCGGGTCTTAGATTGTTGGCCTGCAGCATAGTCCTTTGCGTTGTGACTCGTTGCTGGCCCTGAATCGGGTCTTAGATGGTTGGAACCTCTATCAGAAACAGAAGAACAACTTATCGACGGGTTTGCCTCAGTTTGCCTCAGTCTTAACGGCGCGTCGCAGAATTCGGATGGCATTGCGATCCCAGGGTCTTCCCGATCAACACCAAGTCTGGAATGTCTATCGGGACAGTCTGAAAGGATCCTGCCTGGCGTTTAATTTGATCTTCCCTCTCGGACTGGACCAGTGGAGGAAGAAATTTGTCTTCTCAGCTCTCATCTGATAGTCCGTAGTGCAGGCAGGCAGGCAACAAACAGTCCAAACAGGTCTGCGAGCTAATTTTGAGAGTAGCTCTCCCACGTTTCCAATAGCACGATCGGGTCCGCCATCGCAGGAACGAGCTAATTTCTAGAAAATAGCGATCGCCGAAGCGTGCATTTTTGCGCAACAGCAGCTAGCCATGAGGCGATATCTGGAATCAGCTATGGGTGTGCCAGTGTCTACCCCAAGTGGCCAGCAGGCGATGCCCCCTATCCATTACCATGGAAATCAAACTCTTAATGCAGTTTCTTTTGGATTTATAGCTACGGCGGTTCTCTTTGCCATGTTTTTGGTGATGGCAATATTTGAGAGGATTTTGCGACCTCATCGTTTGGCTCGCGCCAGTGCGAGAGATGAAGAACCAGCGGAATCAATTCCTGAGACATCTGTAGATGCTGAGAAACCTGAAATCTATGCGGTAAGTTTTGTCACTCACATCACCCATGATTCTTCTAAAATTCTTCTCAAATTTTCAATGGCTCGAGACGTTTATCTTCCTCGAAGTTTTTGAGTGTGTGGAGACTATAATAATCCGGGGCGTGAGCAAATTCTTGACTCTCGGAAGTCGGTTTCGTTTACGTTCGTTTCGTCTCCAATGGTACAGTTTTTCGTACGATGTAACAATCTCAGTACCTGGGCAAAGTGGCGCGATGAAGAATCATCGGTCCATGCTATTTGAAAACTTCATCAATTAGCAGTAGTTAATTTGGAGGGGACCGCGCGAGTCGCGTTGGCCAGCGCAGCTCACCAGATTCCCGTCCGTCCGACCGACTGGTTGCCTTCCTTCCTGGTGACCTATCCGTCAGTTTGCCACAGCTTGAGAAGCTCAGAGATTCTGGGCTCGTCCTCGTCCTGCGTCGGAACAGCTGAGACGGTCAAATCGACGATGGGCCCATTTGATGTCGAAACGCAGATGCTTCAGCTAGCTGGTCGCCAGCAAGATTTGCTAATCTCCTTCACTCTTACTCTCACTCTCACCTGTGTTGCCACCTTTCCGCATGTCCTGCGCCCGGAAGTGTTGCGTCTTCCTGGCGAATGCGGGATGCGGCCACTTGGCGACTGCGGCATGTCCGTTTGTTTACACGAAGTAAAGCAGTTGGAAATTGCACGACGACCTTTGCTTGAATGAATGAAACTAACGCCTTGCCTCTTCTGTTGGATTGTCCTTGTGCAGTTTTCAAGCTACTCCAACGCGGTGTCAGTTCTCATGCCAGGGCACGATTATCCGACTTATTTCGCCCGGCCTATTCCTATGCCTTGCAGCCGAGAACGCGCAGTCTGGCCTTCTCACCACGGATCGATTGATGAATCATCCCGTTCATCTGATTCCGATTCGTCTGAGAAGGAAATCGTCACCGATCTCGGGAGAGGACAAGAGGAGGCTTCGAATTCAGCATCTCGTCCATCAAAGGAGGTGTTACAGGCTGGCGTGGTGGTGGTGAAGGAAAAGGGAGAGTCTTCGTCCCCTGCCTCACCCGAGAAGTCCTATATTCAGGACGTTGAGGACGTTGAGAAGGCAGAAGATGAAACCATTGCTGATCCGGGCAGGATAGAGGTTCGTCAGGAGGCTTACAGGAACTAATTGCCTTAATTGTATATCGTGTTGTATATCATGTAATATACATGTCCAGAATCCAGGAGCTCTTTGTGCTGAACGACAAATCAGAATGAAGGAGTAACAAAGCCTCTAGAGCGTCCTTCTTCTGGAGCGTCCTGTACCTCAAGCCTCTAGCCTCAAGGAGTAACAAAGCCTCTAGAGCGTCCTTAGGGTTTCAAAACTGAAGATTCGAAGAATACCTCCTAGAATTTTTTATCTGATTGTCGAAGAGAAATTGCCTGGTCATGGCGATTTTCTATACTTGCAACAATTAGTTGTAATTCTGATCAGCAAATAGGGTAAGTATTTGCTGTTTGCCTTTCTCTGTTTGACTCGCCTTGCTTATATTTCTGGAGTTCTGGAGAATGGCATATACGATAGTTCTGGAGAAGTTTAAACTGATATGATAGTTCTGGAGAAGTTTAAACTCATATGATGTGGTGCATCGATTTGCAGGGAGGTGTGGGTTAGGGAGATAAGGAAGCTGCATCGATTTTCCAAGTGCATAATTCGGAATGCGTGTGGCTCAGGGAGGTAGGAAGTTACGAACTTTGCGTGTGGCACTTGTCATCAGAAGAAAGCGGGCTACAATTGGAGGAGTGTCTGTAAAGACGAGAAAGCTCTTCAATTTCCAAGATTGTGCAATCCGTGCAAATCACCTTCGCCTACGAGTTTATTACGAGCAACAGTGATGGTTTGTGAGTTCTCGTTCCAGATCCAGATTTAGGTACACAATGAAATGGAGTAGAATAGGATCAGAATGAAGCGAATGGTGGAGTAGATTAGGATCAAAATGAAGGTTACGTGGGTTATGGAGTAGACATGTTAAATTTAAGCGGGTATGCTCTCTAGATGAAAAGAGTTCGCTAAACAATTTTTAGGCAGGTCTGATAGTCAAATCAAGGGGAGAGCAGTTTTAGCGGTTCAGATCGAAACCCAGGATGTACGAAATTACATTGTCGAAAACCAAACCCAACATGTACGAAATTACACTGTCGATCATGTAGCTTCTCTTTATTTATGGTGATAAATGGAGCTTTATGTATCAGTTTATTTACGGTGATAAATGGAGCTTCATGTATCAATTCTCAGTGAAACGCTTTTTGTTTCCATTTTGCTCTTTCATTCAATTTGTTTTCAGATGTTTAGGTAAAAACTAGGAAGTTTTGAACATTCTAAAATTAAAAATTTGAAATCAAATACTCTATGGGGTGATCTCATCATGCTTTTTCATCCAATTCAATTTGATTTCAGATGTTTAAGTTTAGGATGTTAAGGTGCGAGAAGAATTCAATTTGATTTCAGATGTTTAAGTTTAGGATGCTAAGGAGCGAGAAGACAGGTATCTAACTCGTTTTCGGGTTTACGAGTTAGGCTCTATCGCTTGGAGAAAACAGGTACCCACAAATAATTCACATCCGAGTTCGGGCGAAAATCAGAGTAGGCAGTTGGTCGAATACTTCTGAGTCAAGTAGAACGTAATGTCTTCAATTTCCTGTATCGATTTCAATCATGACTACAAGAAAGTTATGAGCATCGCTTAGACCAATGTATCAATATAAGAATGAAAAGTATATATATCGGTGGAATGATGTTTAGAAACTCTTATAATCTGCTTTGTAAATGGATTTAGTAAATATGTTATTGCTTAAAATTACAGATACGAATATAGTTGCGGAATATTTTCTATTCTAGAGTAACTTTATCAACTGATGATAATATTGATAAACTATGGATATTTATAAATATCATGATTTGAAAGTTTACTAATATAATTAGTATTGAACTATTGACACCAATTCTGATTGGATGATTAGAAATTACCGATAGAAAATCTTGTATGAAACTCAAATTAAAGTCATATCGATTCATAGCAGAATTTTTTTGAATTCCATATCTTAAAATTTAAAAGAAAATATTTGTTTTGTTATGATTATATCAGAAATATATTTTTTGAATAACATTTAAGTGTGACAAAATAGTGACAAAGATGTTTGTTTGAACTTTTGTGGAAATCGAAGAATGTTAATAAATTTTAAAATTTGTGAAAAATGTAAAAAGATCAGAGAAAAAATATTGAACTCTGTTATAGATTTTCACAAAGGAGTTGAACCAACTCACTTTAAGATCAACAAAAAATAAGTAAAAAAAGTAAACTAGATTGTGGATTTGTGTTGTTAGTTCATAGTAAGATAGTAATGATTCCTCGAATCATTACTATGAAAGTCAAATTTTAGACAATTGAATAACACAAAATTATAATCTTGTCATCATCATATAATTAGATAAACTTATTTTGATATTAAGTATATCCAAATATTCGTAATAATGATTTTTAACAAAAATTTGTAATGAATCATTATACAAGGAACATTTTTAAATCATTCAATGATATGAAGCGATTTTTTTAAAAAAATATAAATATTTTATCTAAATGCAATATTTTATAAATGAATTATGAAGCAATGAAAATAAAAAATCTTACACAAACAACAAATATAATATGTGGAAATAATTCAAATTTTTTTTGAATAATCATCAATACAAAGTGAGTATTTCATAAATCATTATGTATATAGTCAAATATTTCTTTGGATTTGTAAGTTCAAATATAAAAAACTATATGATGCTTACCCAAAACACAATATTCATAAAAATGTAAGTCAACTTTAAGTATATAAGATAACAAGTTTTTATAGTCTAGGAGTGACAAGTATACTTTACGTGTAGTCTAATCTAAAATGTTATACATGAAACGCTTCAGTTCGAGATTTAGTAAAGATCACAAATGATACTGTACTCTAGCATATTGTTTGGTAGCTTATCTACGTGATAGTCAATCTAAAATGTTATACATGAAACGCTTCAGTTCGAGATTTAGTAAAGATCACAAATGATACTGTACTCTAGCATATTGTTTGGTAGCTTATCTACGTGATAGTCAAGCTAGTTCGAGATTTAGTAAAGATCACAAATGATACTGTACTCTAGCATATTGTTTAGCTTATCTACGTGATAGTCAATCTAAAATGTTATACATGAAACGCTTCAGTTCACTATTTAGTAAAGATCACAAATGATACTGTACTCTAGCATATTGTTTGGTAGCTTATCTACGTGATAGTCAAGCTAGTTCGAGATTTAGTAAAGATCACAAATGATACTGTACTCTAGCATATTGTTTTGTAGTTTATCTACGTGATAGTCAAGCTATTATCATTAAGAGGAGGAGACAATCATCAACCTAGCAATCCAAGAGGTTGAGAGTGTTGATGTGAAACATAAGAGGCCTATCTATAACTAAGTATGTGAGTGCATATCCAATTTGGAAGATGGCAGACATCCTCAACACTGTTGAGACTTGGGAGCATGAAAGTAATGTTATTGGAGAGATACAAGGGTTTACTCTGGCGGGATCTACTTGGAACCATAGAAATCAACGAGCAGGAAGAAGCTTTGGAGTCATTGCTACTTTCATCAGATCTGAACTTCTTCCTATGATACATTTGGAAAGCCAAGATATTGGGAAACAATATCATTGGCTTCGTCTTGGATTGATTGGAGGATCTTACAATTATTTGGCAGTTTTTTACTTTGCACCATTATCCATGCAGATCTACTCCACAAGCACTTGCAATCGAAGTCAACCATTCCATCGGCTCATAGGAGATGTTCTCAAATATCAAGACAAAGGTGAAGTTTTTCTTGTTGGAGACTTCAATGCCCGCATACTTTCTGCTCAATTTACACAATTTGATAGTTCCTTGTCTTCTTCCTCTTTTGAAGAAAGTAGAGATAGTTTGTGGTCTAGAGTCTCTTGTGATCCTTGTACAAATGATTTGACTGAGCATTTCTTGACTTTTGGAGCCACTTGTAATCTGAAAGTTCTCAATGGTGTTTCTTTCTTTCCCAACTCTCACTCCAATACATGTTTTTCCTCTACTGGTGTTAGCACTATAGATTATCTTTTGTCCTCTACCACTAATAGTTCATTTATCTCAGCGTTTGATATTCTACAGCCTCAACTAGAATCTGATCATACAGCTCTTTTATTTACTCTTTTGTTGTCAACGTCAATCCCTCTCTCTACATGTCACTATGTTTCTACTTCCCCCAAGTTTTGTTTAGATGCTAGTAAGAAGCAACTTTATAGCGAACATTTCCAAGACCTCTTGACTCGTACTACTTGGAGCCTTGATCCACATATATCTAGTTTGCAACTAACCGAGTTGCTCAAAAACTCTGCTTCTAAGTTCTTTTTGATACATAAGACCAGGAGAGAGGTCTTCCTTGCAATGAATGGTTTGACTTTGATTGCAAGCAAGCGAGGGCGAGATCACTTGATAAATCCTTGGATCTTCATAATCGGTTGATTATGACAAGACTTTACAAAGACTTGGTGAAGTCTAAGAAACGAGCATTTTTTAGGCAAAAGCAAGAGTGCTTGACAAAGGAGCTCTTGGAGAATCCCAAATCCTTTTGGAGGCGGCTGGCAGTACGATCTTCTAAACCTACTCTTGATCCCAAGTCTTTGATTTCTTTTGTTGAAAAGCTTTGTTTTTTCCCAATGTTGCATCAATGCCACATTGTGAAGGAAATCCAGGCTTATTTTCAGAAGTTGAAGTGATGACTCAACTCAGACAATTGACAAATGGTAAATGTGAGGATTTGGATGGGCTTTCCATTGAACTTCTCAAGTGGGGAGGAGATGCTATTGGGCCTATACTCACGAAAGTGTTAGAGAATGCTGCTATTCATGGCTTTCCTTCAACTTGGTCTCTACGGAAGATTGAACCTATTCACAAATCTAGGAGCAAGGCCTTGGTGACAAACTATCGCACTATCATGGTAGGTAGTATTTTTGCCAAGTTATTTGGCAAATTGGTGCAGTCAAAATTGAGCACATGGGCTGAATCTTGTTAGAAGAGAGCGCGGTTCCAAGCTGGTTTTCGTCCTACATTCAACACTATAGACCATATCGTGGTTTTACGTGTTTTATGGTAGAAATCCAAGGGTAATGGAAAAGCTTTGTTTTGTGCCTTCATTGATTTCAAGAAAGCTTTTGACACAGTACCCCGTGAACTTTTATGGCAAAGATTGCAAACCATTGGAGTACCATCAGATCTCTTAGCAGCGGTGGCTACACTATACCACTCAGTTCGGGCCAAGATCAACACTTCTCAAACCGAAGAGATTATCAGCACCATTGGAATCATTCAAGTTTGTACTCTCTCTCCTACTCTCTTTGGAGTTTTCATAGATGATATAGAAAGGTGGTTGGAGGATTGTGATAGCGAAGGTGTTAAACTTGGAGGCTTTGTCATCAAAGCTCTTTTGTATGCAGATGATGTCATAATACTAGCACGTTATGACATTAGTTTACAGAAACACCTTGACACTTTGGCTAGCTTTTGTACTCAAAATTAGATGGAAGTCAATTTGGAGAAGTTCAAAGTCATTCTTGTGGGCACTAGATCCAAGTTTTCTTTCTGTTACAAAGGATTAGAGTTGGAACAAATGAAAAATTACAAATATTTGGGCATTGATTTCTCATCTGATTATAGTTGGGCACTTTGTGTGCAAAAGAGAGTAGAAGCTGGTTTCAAAGCTCTATATTCATTGCTAAATAGATGTAGAGGAGCTCATCTAGTATCTTGGAGTCTTAGGAAATTCTTATTCAAGAGCTTAGTGTTTCCCGTTATCTTATATGGAACACAAGTGTGGGATCCTGATTGTAAGAAGACAGGTTGGCAGCGTTTGAAGAGGGTGCAAAAGATCTTCTTACAAGAAGAATTGGGTGTGAGGAACCAAACTTCTTATGCAATTCTTCTTGCAGAAACAGGTTGTCTACCTCTTGAGGCTGAAGCTCTCTTTTTTACTATCACTTACGTCAAAAGAGTGAAATCTCTTGATGCTTCTCGACTTCCTCTTGAAGCTTTGCGTGCCACACGTCCCAAGGGTTGCTTTGCAGATGTGGTGACTTGGTCTTTGAGGTGGAATGTGACGAAACTCGATTGGAATTTGCAACCTATTGCCCTACGCGAGCGTATTAAGGAGGAATTTCTCAGCATTATGTGGAGCAGACGAGGC